AGAACAGGGAAACCAGTTTAAGTTCTCCTTCAGGGGTCCTGGCAAGTGATAATAGTATCTTGTTTAATAGGATTGTAATAGTGCAGGCACTGAGAAGAGGAAAGATTCAGAATATTTTCTAGCTGCATGATCTTGGGTAAGCTACATAAACTCTTTTGGTGCTCAGTTTATCCATCTGTAGAGTAGAGGTTAAAAATAGTACCTACCTTCTAGGACTGTCATGAAAATTGGATAAATTAGTATTTGTAAAATGCTTAAAATGCTATCTAGGTAATTATTAAGTAAAAAAAATAAGTATCTTGGAGGTATGGTTAACTGAAGTTAGAAGTTTGTGATAGATTGGATGTGAAACATGAGGGAAGGAGAAGGAGTCAAGATGACACATAGATTTATTTTTTTAACTTGGGCAACTGCCTGAATGATGATGTCATTGGTATGAGAAAAGCTTGATGGTTGAAATGGGGATAGATTTACAAGATAATGGTAATCAAGAGTTCTGTTTGGCCACATACATTATAGAAGAGTTGTCAAGTTGGCAGGATGCTTGACGAAACTGGAACTTCTGGGGAGAGAACTGAACCTAAGAGAAATTTGAGAGTCATCAGTGTGTGGATGGTATTTGCAACCATAAAGATGCATGAGATCTCTTAGGGAGGAAGGCTACATTGAGAGGAGGAGAGTCCTGAGGATTGTACCCTGAGGATATAGCAACATTCAGAGTTTTATAGAAGAGACAGAGCCAACATGAGTCTGAAAAGGGGTATTTGGTACTGCAGAAGGAAAATCAGGGAAGGTAGGAGTATAGGAATCTGGTGCAGAACAAATTTCAAGAAGAGTGCAGACAATACCAAATGAGGCTGAGAAGATGAATAAGATGAAGACTGAGTATTGTCAGTGGGCTTTGGAAAAAAAGGAGGTAATTAGCGATCTTGGTAAGACTCATTTCTGTGGGGTGGTAGGGAGGAAAGCCTGGCTGGAGTGGATAGAGGAGGGATGGTGAGTGAGGAATTGGAATGGCAAGTACATAGCTCTTTTCCAATAGTTTTGCTGTGAAAGGCAGCAGAAAAGTAGGATGGTGGCTGGTTGTGTGTGTGTGTGTGTGTATATATATATATATATGGACAGGGGAGGTGGTTTTCACTCTTCTCTCACCTCCCCTTCCCTCCCCTCCCCTTTAATAGGTATGATATTAATATTGTATTGTATCAGATGAAATGATCCAGTAGTCTTGAAGGATTTTATTATGTTGAAACACACTGTGTTTTCATTTTGGTGGTTAAAAAGATAGAAGTTGTAATATATGCAGTGGTCACCTGGCTAAGTCATCTTTTTCCTGTCATTTTTCTACTTCCTCCTAATCTCCATCCCTGCCTAGTTTGTTATGTTCTTATATTTGCTACTACAGAAAATGCCCTTCTCCCATATGTCATCTACAGAATTTTTACTTTTGATAAGTTTTCTTGATTTTTCACTGAACTAAACTCTGTGAGGACAGAAGCCCATTTCTCTTATCTCTCCAGTGTATCCTCAGCATCTGGCACAGCCTGACATCTAATGAGAGTTTAATACAAATTTGTCTGACATACAGTGGGGATTTAACACATGCATTTGTCTAAAGAATAAATGAGATTATGTGTGAGAGAGTGTTCACATTTAAATTAAGTACCTTTTAGATGTCTCTAATAAGATCTCAGGAAATCTTTCTCTAGTTTGATGAGAGGTAGGGATTTATGTGGAGAGGAGTATTATATGATATCCACTTTGATGCCCATTTTTTTCTTTGCGTTGTCACAGAACAATCTGAATTAGATTATGGCTGAAGAAAATATAATTGTACTACATACAAGTGAATTTAGTAACAAATTGTTAATCAAGTTTCTTTATATATATATATATGTACACATATTATATATATATAATGTCAATTTTCTTCATATTCAATAAATAATTCTGTCATTTTTGAGAGGAATTTTATTGGAGCTGGTATTAGCTCC